CTAGTGTGTACCTAAAATCTAGTAGTTACTAATGGTCTAGAAGTAGAAGCAAGTTAACATATCCCTATTCCAGTTTCCATGCCTATATTCCTCGGATATTCAGGTGTTTTGTTCTATTCTCTGTACGCCTGTGATTCACATTGACCAAAGAACTGTTCAGTAAACTTGTTATTTAAAATTCCCATCATCCTTCATCCTCAGCCATAGAAATTTCCTAGCAATTGAATAATGGAAATGAGGATGCATCAGAAATTAAGTATATCTTAAGGCATTTTTTCATCTTGAGAGGTTTTTGGGTAGAAAAACAGTCTCTAGAATCTATAGTAGATTTTATTTATGGATGTTAAGAACTTACTCCTTTGCTTTTAATAGTTTTATATTCCAAACACTTTTCTCTCCTACTTGCTTAATGATTTCACATTTTCTTTAAAGACAGACCAGCAGTTTCTAAAACACATTTTTAGTCATGTACAAGTAACAGCAAAGATAACCCTCCACATCCCTGTACTGTTCTCCCCAAAAACACCAAGGTACCAACATTTATTTTAGTGTGCCACAAGCACAGCTCTTTATCTCCTTTAATAAGGGGCACTGTTCCTCAGGCAGTCTGTCCAGGAGAGGGAAATGCAAATTGTTGCTTTGGAATTGAACAGGTTTCCTGCTCTTTGGTCATAATGAATGTAATATCTTTCCCTGGCGTGGAGCTGAGCAGTGTTTAACTCCCAGATCAGCTGCTCCCTGTGTTCCACATGTCTGCAGGCCTTTCCTTTATCAGCTCCCTTCCAGCATCCCTGAACTGGAAATTACAGCTGGCAGCATAACACAGATATCACTGCTGGGGCTCACAGGACTTTTGCAGTGTCAGGATAAAGTTTAGCATCAACTTTTTATTTTCTACTAAGCCTTAAGTGTTATATTTATCACGCAGTGTTATGTTCTGAAGGGTTTTTTTTGCAATTGATAGTTGGTAAATGATTAACTGGCAGTGTTTCATTCAGCCTAGGCACTTACTCCTTAGCATGCTGAAAAAGGTCTTTAATGGGTGGGAGTCAAGTTGCTCACTGAGGGTTTTTTTTGCTTGATCACCAATCTTCTCTATAGTATTAATTATCCAAAACAAAGTCACTGTTAAATAACCTCAACAACTCAAACAGGAAAATGGTTAAAACAAAGGAGTGACTTCTGCTTCAGGGTAAGTGCAGCACTGTATTGTTTCATTCCATAATGAAATACAATCTTTTGAGTAGCTGAAAATACTGAGAGCCATCACAAACCCAGTGTCCTTATAAAACAAAGTAATTTATTCTGTTTTGGTACTCTGTGTGCTGCTGTTATACTCTAATACAAAGATGATTTTTCCTCTTTGGTGGCACAGCAAAAGTAGAAGTGTATTTGCATGCTCCTTGACAATTTTAGATTATAAATCATCTTAGCTACTAATCAATAAATGCAATTTTAAAATCTAGATTTTTTTTTATAATCCAAGGATTTCCATTTATTTATAAGTTTATAAACTACAGCTGATATCACAATTTATTATAAGGAACATATTAATGGGATAAGAGAGCTTTCCTCCACTCTTTATGGTCTGACCATGAGCTAGTGCCAGCAAAGTAAATGAGTCTTTAAACCATAACCTAAACTCTGTTCAACCCTTTCTTCTCACTGAATTTTCTTACCACTGAATATAAAGGGAGAATTATAATTCTGAAATCACACAAGAAGCATCTCAGATCCAACCCTGCTAGTTATGCACCACAAGGCACCTTGTTAAAGCACATTTCTAAATGAAATATAAAATGATACAGCAGATAAAAAGTCATTGTGGGTGAGCAGACAGGAATGCTTGTATGGACCAGTGGGGATGATGGGCTCTGAGCAGCTCCCTGCTGCTCCAGTGTGGGACTGGGGTGCTGCCCTAAACAACTCAAGGTATTTCACCTCATGTGCTTTTTTATTTCCTTTCTGTGGGAAGTAGAGCGTGTTGTCATTGCAGAGCCACGAACCACAAGGGCAAAGGGTCAGGCAGCTCCAAACCCAAGGTGCCATCCTTCCTCTCAGCGTTCTCTGCCCCAAAACTGCCAGGGAGAGGAGGCAGATGTGACTGCAGGTGCTGCAGAGCCAACACTCCAACACTCCTGAGGTGTTCCCCAGCCAGACCTCTGCTCAGTGCTCATCTGTTGTTTCTCCTCCCCACTCACCTCCTGCTGCTCCTCTAAATCCCCTCTGCCCCAGCGTGGGCCCCAGAGAGCAGAACCTGCTGGTGCCAGGCACGGCCACAAAGCCTGACCTGCATCAAGTGGGCTCTGACCGTCCTGAGTCACTTTTGCTATGAACACACTCCTGAACAGAGCTCAGTTTCCAGAAGCCAGTGATGTATTTGTGATGTGAACAGCCAGACATCTGCTAGACATCTGCTCTCTTCTCTGAACATGCCTCGCATCTTCTTCATGGCAATCCCTGGTGCTTCAGCTGGTCCAAGAGCAGAGCCCTGCAGCCAGGCTGTCCCAGCCTGTGGAAGGAGGACAGGGACACCTTGCTCTGATTCCCTCCACCAGGTGCTGCCCCACTATCAGCACAGCCTGACCCTGAGGTTGACAGGAGCACAGTGGGGCACTGGGATATGTGGATCGGGTCATTTGGGATGAAGTGGGGCACTGGGCTCCCTCTGCAGACTGGCACCTTCCACCAAACCTCAGGTGCAGGACAGCTCTGCCTTCAAAGGGAGGATCACACAGACAAAGCCTCTGCTCACCAGCTGGTTCTGACTTCATTTCCAGCTCTGAAGCCTTCCTCCAGCTGAAAGCAGATTTTTATCTGCCTCATCAAGTTGCTTATGGAGTGCTGCTTCCTGCCAGGCTTCGTAACCCTCTGTGCCTCAGTCCTTCAGAGAGCTTCCCAACCCCATAAATAATGTAAGTATAAATGTTGTAAACACTGTTCCTGATCGTGGTGTTCCCAAGGGAGTATTTTTCTATTTTATATCAAAGCAGTTTTGTTCCTTGTAGCCCCAGCTGTCATGGCCAGAATTCCATAGCAGGTAACACCCTGCACACCACAGGGCAGCACCATCCCAGGGTTTGGATGTACATGGAATTTTGGTCACATTAAGATGCAGAAGCTTTGTTCGAGGCTCTTTTCATTAGCTGGTACAGATCACCATGCATGTATTACCCACTGTTGTTATTTATGACTCCAATAATCCTCACCACATCTACAGAGCCTTCCGGAAGCTGTTCCTATTTCCATTACAACAGGATGGCTTGGGGCCTGCTTTCTGCTGACCCTGGTAGAAATTTCTTTATTAAGAAGGGCAACGTGCTGCATGCAGGTAACATTCCTGAGCTGGCAAACCAACAGTGTTTCCACATTTTATATTACAGCACCCTTTTTCCCCCGAGGAGTATTACTGCAGTTTCTGTAGCTTCCTACTGAAGCACAAAAAAACTTTCTTATGGTCTGTGTAAAACAGAGGTTGTTGTAATCATATTTTACTGCTTTCCAAGAAATGCTCTTTTTAAAATTGTTTGTGAAAAGACACTAACAGCTCTTCCAAGCTGGTGAAACAAGAATAAGGTTTTATGACAAGATTTTCTTTGCATTTAGTTCCTTTGTAACCAGTGGGATAGAATTTACCTGAAATGCTTTTTATAAACACTCCTGTGTAAAGCAGGGTGTCTGTTTGGGTTTAATGCCTGGAGGAAAAGGGAAATTTTTGTATGTGATGAATGTCACAGTGCGTTAAAATACCAGATCATTGTAGGCACTCACCCTAAAATCCATACCTGTCCAAAAGCCTGTTGAGCAGATTTGGTGAACACTTTTTAATTTTAGAGACAGAGCTTTCAGTGAGTGGCCAGTGTAGAACAAGGCAGAAGGTATTGCTCCATCCCCTCAGAGATGTTTTGCCCTAACATGGCACTATAGAAATTAGTTTTTATTTTGTGTGACTGAGTGTACTATGTGGCCTTACAGCACTGTAGGCATGTAGGGGAAACAAAATGACAAAATTAAGAATTTCAGGTTTATCATTAAGAAGAATATTCATTACATAAGATTCTACAATTATGTTATTGCTACATGACCTTGCAGAACAAAGTTATGTTCTCAGTTAGGGCTTGCCTGATGCTGCCAAAGGAATCCAACTCAAAATATGCTGGATTGAGAAACTGAGTTCACATTCTTCTCTGCAGAGTGAGATTTGAATAAGTAACAAACTCCATCCTTTCCAGATAAGAGCTGTGTGGTATTCCATACATAATGATGCGAGCTGGAATGACAGGACAAAGGAGAATGGCTTCCAACTGTCAGAGGCTGGGATTAGATGGGACACTGAGGAAAATCCGTCCCTTTGAGCCTGGTGAGGCCCTGGCACAGGTTGCCCAGACCCGCTATGGCTTTTCCATCCCTGCAAGTGTCCAAGGCCAGGCTGGACGGGGCTTGGAGCACCCTGGGACAGCGGAGAATGTCCCTGCGCACATCACAGGGTGGCACGGGACGGGCTTTAAGGTCCCTTTCAACCCAGGCCATCCCGGGATGCTCAGACAGCCGCTGGCTGAGGGCAGCCCGTGCTCAGCGGTGCGGGGATGCAGGGTCAGACCCTGCTCCTTGCCCTGGTGCTGCTGCTCCAGGCACAGCCTCCTGCAGGCGGGGAGGGTTCATAACCCGGGTTCATAACCTCCCTGGAAAGAATACCAAAGTTCATTTGAGCAGCAGGCAGCTGTGGGTTTACACTCCCCCGACACGCGCTGTGAAGAGAACAACAGCAAAGGGCTTCACTGAGCAGCGCGGGGCTTTGCTTTTCTCCCATCCCGCAGGGTGATGTTTCGCCACGCTGCTGTCCCGGGAGCGCGGTCGGCGCGGAGCCCGTTCCGGGCCGGTGCCGGTGCCGGGGCGGGGTCGGCCCGGGGCTCCCCGCCCGCAGGTGCGGCCCGCCCAAGGCGCGGCCCGCGCAGGTAAAGCCGGAGCGGCCCCGCCGCCGCTGCCGCAGTCCCGCCGCGATGTTCGGGGCGCAGCAGCAGCTGCAGCCGCCCGCGCTGCCCCCGCACCTCCAGCAGCAGCAGCACTACTACCGGCGGCAGCAGCACTACAGCACCCTGCCCGCCCGCCGGCCCTGCCCCGAGCCGCCGCCCTGCCCCGAGCCCCCGCCGTGCCCGGAGCCGCCGCGGCCGCTGCCCTGCGTGGACCCCGCTCCGCACCAGCAGCAGGACGGCGCCGTGGCCTACGACCGGGTGCGCACCTACGGGCCGGGCTGCCGCCGGGTCAGCACCTCCTGCTCCTCCCGGGCCGCATCGCCGCTGGACTGCGGGCACGGCTGCGACCCGCCACAGGTACGGCGCACACGGCCCGGCCTCGGCCCGGCCCCTCGGGGGCTGCTCCCGCACGGCATGAGCGGCCGTCGAAGCCGGAGCCCGACGCCGGAGGCTCTGAGGGTCGGGCCGGGCTCCCCCGGGGGTGGGACGGGTCCAGCCCCGGCCCCTCCGCTCCCCCCGCGCGTTTCTCCTGTGGAAACACCGCTGTGGGCGCTCCCCGCGGTCCCCAGCCTCAGCGGGCTGTCCCCGGGCAGGGATGCGGTCCCTGTCCCCGGGCAGGGATGCGGTGCCACCTTTCCCGGCCTTTGGCCGCAGAAGGCGGCTTTGGCCGGCTCTGGCACGGCCCGGCCCCGGTGCCCCGCAGGCGCTGCTCCCTTCCCACGCCGCGATGCCCCCGCGGGGCTCTGCTGAGTTCGGGCTGCTCATGTAAATGGAGCTCGAAGCCTGTGTGCTTGTTAGTTCTCTTTGAATCGATGCTGCTTAATAAGGTCCGCGAGTGAGGTGTTGGAGTCGGGCTTGGAAAGCCCTCGCAATGCAGTTCAGCAGGTTTGTTGTGTGTGTATCCAAGGCATGGCTTGAAAGTATCGGTGGAATTTAACACATGCAAATGGTGTATTAAAACTAGAAACCAATAGCTAAAGAACAGATTTGACTGCAAAACCAGAAAGGAGATCAAAATTTATTCTCAAACCATTTTTTTTCTTCATACAGCAAAATGCCATTAACATCAATAGGATTGCTCTGCTGTACTCAAATGGCAATGTACATTTGTTTCGAGATGAACTCTTTCTGAATTTTCTTTCCCGTGTTATATTTACCTGTCAAAAAGAATCTGGATTAAGACCAATACAAGATCTGCATTCCTTTCAAAGCAGTATTTGCATAGTTTGAGGGCTGCCTTGCTCTCCAGGATGGTTTATGTAAATCCTGGGAAGTGATTGAGCAGCTGTGCTAATAGAAGGACAAGAGGAAACAGCCTCAAGTTGTGCTAGCAGAGGTTTAGGTTGGATATTAGGAAAAAATTCTTCATGGAATGGATGGTTAAGCATTGGAACATACTGCCCAGGGAATTGGTGGGCTCACCATCCCTGGAAGTGTTCATAAATGTGTGGCTGTGGCACTTGAGGACATGGTTAAGCGGTGGCCTTGGCCGTGCTGGGGAATGGTTGGACTCGATGATCTTGGTGAGTTTTTCCAGGCTGAGCGAGTCATAATCATCATAAGGGCAGTGTAGGAGTTGGTAATGGCAGAGCCATTCCCTCTGTGTCCAGGTTGTTAATGCTCTTTTGCAAGATGTAGGGCAGGAGTGTAAACACAGGTCTCTCACCTCCCAGATAAGTGATCTGCTCAGCTAGGCTGGATGATAGTCTGAATTGCAGTTAATTAATTAAATATTCATTGGCATAAACATTGCAGTCCCAAGCTTCCTCTGCCTAGATAAGTACGTGAACAAGGATTACAGACTCAAATGCTGTCGCTGCTCTATGGAGGATGTTTAATTTTCAGCATCTGTTGTAGTCACTGAATCCATTACGTCCTGCTGATGAAAACTAATTTCTTGCTGAAGTGTTTTGCTGGACGAGACTTTAAAGACAAGAGGGTGTAGCTCAGTCAGGCTTTGTGTGGGTTGCAGTTTCAGTGGTGGAGAAGGAAGGTGCCTAATACAGATTATTAGGAAGTTATTAAAGCAGAAAACAGTAACAAACAGGGAAGTCAGCTGGGAGGAGGCAGAAGTGGCACACTTGGTGCTGAATGGGAGTTGCCTCAGAGAAGCCCTGGGAGGGTGTAGGACATTCCCAAAGAGTGGATCAGTTGCCCTTTGAGCCCATTGTGCAGGGCCAGGTAAAGTGAATAATGGACCGATACCAAGCTCCCATCTGTGTTTGTTGTCACAGGAGGATTTGGGGGTAGTGGCAGCCAGAGCTGCAGTTTCAGCTCTGTGTGCTGCTAAACCAAAGGGCTGTCTTTGAGCAATATTTAATTTGCTTCTGCAGAGTTTGCGTGGATTAACAATAACAGACGTACATCCCTGTTGACACAGTGCTGGTTTTCAGTCATGTGGCTGGGGTGTGCTCTTGTGTTTATGTACACTTTTAACAAGCTGGAGAGAGGGAGAATTTGAAATTGCTGTGTGCACAGAGCACATGTGCTGGTGCTTTTTGTGATTCAGGGTTTTTTTTTTTACTTTTGTGGTTTGTTTTGGAGTAATTCATAGCAAATTTTGCTCTGCTTGACCTAAATGAGAAGTGTTTGGAATAAATTCCCTTCCAGTGTGGCTTATGTGTATGAATCCCTTCTCCATGGTCATGGAAAGATAATTCGTGAAGTGGCACATATAAAATGTTTGCAGAGGGCGAAACCCTGACAGGCTTTGTAGGGGCTCTCTGTCCATCTGAGAAATTTTGGGAGTCAGGTGTTTGTGTGGCTGGGCTCGGTTCTGTGACGTGCAAAGCTCCCATGAAAATGGTGCAATATTAACCAGCTTTAGGGTTGGTCTGTGTTGTAACAGCCTCAGACACTGCCTGCCATTTCCCCATTTCACCTGCCAACTGGAACTCATAGATTAGGAGCAGATGACTGGATTGCTTGTCATTAGCAAGACAATGTGTTGTGGATAAAGGCCTTTGACATAGATTAAATTCTCACTTTCATCTCTGGGTTGGCTGAAGCCAAGGGTAGGTAGCCTGTTGAAATTTTAAAAATCCCAGGACACTGGATTGCTTCTACATAAAAATGGCACACTAAGGATAAATCTATCAAGTGCTTATTCTAAAATTAAAAAAAAATCTTATTTAGAAATCTTAAAGACTAGCAAAAATATTCATGCAAGTTTTAGTGTTACCTTTTAAAATTCTGCTTTTAAGCCCCATGGCAGGGAGTTGGAACAGGAAGAACTTCAAAGTCCCTTCCATTTTGTGATTGTGTAAAACAGACATAGACTGACTGCTCAGGCTGTCATGAATTCCAAACCCACAACAGCACTGGGCTTTCCCTTTGGAATCCCACCTTCCCCTTCCTTTTCCCAGACAGAAAATGCTGCATCTTCAGACACTGCATCTTCTGTCTGCTTGGAGAGAGCAGCCTGAGCTGTGCCCCTTGGGAATGCTGGAAAACAGAAACAGCCCAAGATCCCTTTCCATGTTCCCACTGCTGGGGGACAGCTCCAGAGGTCCTGGAGGTGGCAGCTCCTTGTGCAGAGCCCCGAGCTGTGTGTGGGCAGTGCAGGCTGGCACAGACACAGTGTTCTGCCTCTTGGTCCCCTCCCAGCCTGTGCCAGTCCAGCCTGCTTGGCTGGAATGGGAGAAAGGGCAGGCAAATCCGTGTTTGTAAAGCAGCTCTTTGAAAATGAAAGAGTTTGGGTATCTCAAAAATAAGCATAATTTTATCCAGGCAAAACATTCTTAGGTTCTGTATAATATTGCATATACAATGAGGATATTTAAAAAGTCTGTTTCAACTTAAAATGCTCCAGACTCCTCTGCTGTGGGTTTATTCTCTGAGACACCCTGGATGCGTTATCCTCTCTAGACTTTGAGCTAGCCCTGGCACGTTTGTCCATCCTTTCAGTGGATTCCAGGGCTGTTGTTCAGTGTCACACAATGGCCATGTGTTGTCCCTGTCCTGGGACGGAGCAGTCCCTGCTGTCCCACGGCTCTCTGGTGTCACAGCTCCGTGTGCTCCTCACAGACCAGGCTCAGGCTGTGCCTGCTCTGAGTTTGGGCTGAAGGAAGGACCAGTGGTCATTCCTGTGCTGAGTATTTCACTTTTTATTCCAGTTCTGCAGGTGTTGGTGGTGCAGGATGGGCTGCATGTTCCTCCTCTCTGTGCTGTCTCTTCTCTGTGTTGTGTCCCCAAAGTCCTGCTGGCACATGGGGTGGCAGCTGCACTGAGCAGCTCCCCAAGTTTCTGCAGCAGTTTTAATTTTGAAATTTCTTTATTACTCTGACTGCTGCAAAAACAGTTTATTTTCTACTTTTGTTCCTCTTTCCTGGTGCTGTTATGATTCACTCTTGGGAGGTTTGGAAAACTGCTCCAGGCTTCCTAAACTTATGCAACAGTTGATTGGAAATCTGACCTACTTCAGAACTGCTCTCGCCTGGCTGAGAATGTGGCTGAGACTGAGCTGCAGCAACATAAACTTCCCCCTGGCTTTGGGAAAGAAATTATTCATTATGAAAATTGGAGGTCTGTGCTGTGAGGGAGGATAAACACTATGCTGCAAACTGACAAATTGCCTAGTCCTTAGATTGGGTTCAGTGGGAGCTCTGCTTGTTTGGGTAAAGGCCTGGGTGTGAGGGGTTGAAGCAAGGTGTGATTTGTTAGAACTGGTGGAGGACAGTGTCTGCAATTGCTTCCAGACAGTACTGGGGCAAACCTGAAGAAATCTATTTGAAAACAAAGCTGCTGCCAGGGACAGATTCTTGTAATTTAAAGAGGCACATCTCATTTTTCATTCAGGAATGTGCAGATGCTCCATGTGGGTATCGTTCCCAGAGGTGGCAGATGTGGAGCTGTGTGCACTGGATGTGACCCAATGGGTTGTTGGGCAGCTCCTCTACCTGTTCACTTCTGAGTTTAAGCAAAATCCAAAATTCATGCCTTGTTGAAGCAAAAAGAGTATTATGCATCTCCATCTGCACCAGCTGAGCTTGATGTGTAACATGAAAAAGCCAAAAATCAAAGAGATGGACTGGAACAGGGACATGGGATCCAGGAAGGCTCATCCAGCTTTGATTTGTAGCCTGTTCTGCTGCACTTACAGAAAATATGGACTAATTCCCTCAGACCTGCAAAGAGGGGATTGAGAAAAGCCCAGCTCTTAAAATGCCGTGAAGGATTGTGTCGTGCTGTGCTGCACATGGGCCAGTTCCTTTGGGGTGTGAAGGCCCTGGGTTTGAAACATCTCCAGATGATTGTGGCCAGGGGATCCCAGAGTATTTACAGCCAATGTCCATAATCAGACTCCTCTGCCAGGAAAGGTGTTGGAGGTTGAGCTGCAGTCATCTCTGAACCTTTTTTCCTCCCTACAGGGCACCATCCGCAGGATCATTATCGAGAACCCGGATCAGGTAGGGAAACTGCTGGACTTCCCTCAGCTCCTCCAGGGGGGATGATAAACACTCAGAGCACTCAGCTCACACCTCTGAGGGAATTATCCGGGATTGAAAACACTGCAGAATGGCCAGTCAGGCTCCCAGCTCTCAGCAGTTAAGTCTTTATTAATATTGATTAATTACTGTTTCTACTGTATTTATTTCACATAGTCCCTATGCAAGCACAGCCACTCTGTTTCCAAATGGACACACACTCACATGTTCACATCCTAAAGGACAGCTCACATACCTTTCAATTATTTATTTTTAGTCAAAATTGCACTAATCCTGAGTTTGCTGTTTGACAAGATTTATGGATGTTTTTATTTACATGTTTTACAGGAGCCATTATCCCCTTTTCTTCGAGGGGCCAGTTTCTCTCCTGGAAATAATGTCATCTATGAAAAAACAATAAGAAAATATGAGCTATTAAATCCCCTCCAAGTAAGTTGTGTGTTTATATTATCTGTTGCAAGAAGAACATTGAGTTGGTAGCAGGAAATTGATGTTTCTGGGTTGATTTGGTTCTGGGTTTTTCTTTTTTTGGTTAGGAGTAGCTGCCAACCTGAGAACTGCCTTGTTGTGATCTAGGATGTATTCTCAAAGGAAATGAAGCAATATTTAAGGAGAGCAGAAAGTGGAATGTTGGCCATATTTTTCCTAAGAATTTATTATTAATTAACAATGAAAACTGCTGTTGTATCTCTAATATTGTCAGTCTATATCTGAGTAGTGGCTGTGAATTAGTTTCTTGTAATAGCTTCATAACAGAACAACCAAGATACATTTTTAGAAAAAAAAAATTAAAACCACAATTTTTTATTTTACTAACTCTTGGAAAAATATGTTTGGCAAATCTGTCTGAAATTTCATCTCACAATTGGTGTTTTGTCAATAGAAAAAATACTGCTCCCTTTCACTGCTCTGAAACATTTCCAGCAGGAAAAAACATTTGAAATTTAGCATTTCTCAGAGTGATTGACCTGAGGTTTTTTTTTATTTTGTTTTTTAAAATGGGACTTTTCATGCCTCTGGATTTTTGATAGCTGAATTCTCTGTGATAACCAGTCTCTGAGGTGGAAAAGGAAAAAACTCGTAATTATAAACAACAGCTTTTTTCTTGCTGCAGATGATGTCCAAAGGAAAGAATAAAAAATTGCTGAGTTTAGCCCTGGAAACCGTAGTTTTACTTCTGGTTTTTGTTACCTGATCTATGTTTAGATTTAGGTCAAATCAGGAGCATAGTAAAGGAAATTTCTGTGTGTAGTGTGGCATCCAGCTTGGGAAAAGTTTCACCCGTGCGTCTCACTGGCAGCTACTAAAACTGGGAGGGAAAATGGTGAATTACAACCCTGTTAGGTATAAAAAAAGCCATTTAATTTGGATCATTAAATCATCCAAAGCCACCACCAGCACAGCCAGGCACGGACACGTTTCATTCACTACTGAGGTTGATGTCCCTGCAGTGCCCAGCGCTGACAGGTCCCTTCTGCCCCAGCAGGGGCATTTCCCACCCGTGCAGGGTACCCAGCATTAACCCTTTCTGCCCCAGCAGGGGCATTTCCCACCCTGCAGTACCCAGCATTAACCCTTTCTGCCCCAGCAGGGGCATTTCCCACCCTGCAGTACCCAGCATTAACCCTTTCTGCCCCAGCAGAGCCATTTCCCACCCGTGCAGCCCAGCACTGACGGCTCCTTTCTGTGCCAGGAGCGGCAGTTCCCGGTGTGCCCGGCGGAGCCGTGCCCGCCGCTCGTGGTCACCCAGCAGTGCCAGCAGACACAGACGGGCAGTCCCTGCGAGCTGTGCCCGGGCCCGGGGAGTGACGAGTGCCGGGGACACCCCGTGAGGAGGGGCACGGCCCCCCCCGAGCTGGTGAGCGCTCCGCGGTTCGTTCTCAGGCAGGGACAGACCCCGGGAGCGAGCGCTTTTGTGGCTCTGCAGTCCCCACAGGTTTGTGCGGGACCCTTGTCACTGAGCAGGGTCTGTGTGTCTGTCTGGGACTGTCCAAGGCTTTATCAGGTGGTGTTGGTGGGGGGGGAAGCTGTTTGAGAGTTGTATTTCCCATTGTCACAGACCTGTGCACTGACTGAGATGAGCCCGTGGTGTTTAGCTGGGCTCAGTCTCACGGGGCTGTTTGGTTTTGCTTTTCTTTACCCATCAATTCGGGTTTCACCTGTCAGTCTGTACACAAAGACTGAGGAATGCACAGCCTCTGCTTTGGGAGGAAACACACATTGCTTTATAACCTTGGCAAATATCAGCTCGGGGTTCCTTTCTTCCTATGCTGATCAGCTAGGGCTTCAAATGTATTTCAATTTGATGCAAAAGTTGTTGACACAAATTCAGTGGAAGCGCTAAAGGAGCTTCCTGGTGTACCTGCAGCCTGTTAGTGCAGCTGGGGAGGGAGTGCAGCAGGTCCCTCCTGTGCACCCAGTCGGTGTTTGGGTGACAAACACCCTGGGGACCTCGGTGTCAGACCTGTGCAGAACCTTCCAGAGCTGGACACTCCCATCAGCCAGCTCAGGACACTCAGCTTGGGCTGAGGACTCTGCTGTGGAAGCAGAGTTCTTGTTGTTCTAAAGGAAGTCATTCCTCTCTGTACGGTTTATTGAAAACCAGCAGATGTGGAAAACTCACTACCAAGAAAAGTGTAATTAAACTGAAAATTGCTAAGAGCAACCAGACCCAAATCCTACCTGCAGCATTTTCATGTTCAGCTTTCATCCCAAAGAAGGGACCCTGTCCTGATGCCCTGCCTGTCTCCTGCAGGTGAGCTGCCCCCAGGACAGCCCCGAGCAGCTGGACTGCCGCTTCTTTGGGGAGCTGCTGGCCGAGCTGCACCGCAAGAGCAATGACCTGTACAGCTGCTTGCTGCAGCACGTGGAGAAGATTGGGACAAGGTATTGCCACTGGATCTGTTACTGCCATGCCCCAGACATCCAGCACTGCACAGCTGGCAGGGACAGTGTTGTTTGTGGATTGGTTGTGCTCCTTGTTTCTTCCTGGCAGCCAGAATTGACCCGGGTGTTTTACAACAATTCATCTGATTTGCAAGTAACTGAGGACATAGAAATGCTGTAAGCCAAGGAAATTTATTGAATGTCATGCTTAAGAATTCTATCTCCTACATGTGTTTGTACATTGAGCAAACAAGAACTTACAGCAAACTGACATATATTTCATGACACAATTCTATTGCTGTGTCCTGAGGAAACAACCCAAATGTTCCTCTGTCCTGTCGTGGTGTTGTGTCATGGATTAAAGGACAGCCACCACCAGGCATAAAGCTCATTCTCTACATCCAAATGAACATAAAGCACATTTTCTGCAGAGCCCTGCAGACCATCTGTGGCAAGGAATGAGAGTCACAGCAGGCAGTGCCCTGCACAGCCCTTCCCCATTCCCTCCATCACACTCATTCTTCCCCCTCACTCCCGATCTTGTCTGGTGCCTTCCAAGATCACTGAATAAGGAAAGTGGTCCTGTAGCAGGGGAGAAAGGGAATTTAACTATCACAGAAACCCTGAGAATGCCAAGTCAACATTTGGGGCAGGGCTGGGAATTGCAGCAGAGCTGTGGGCAAACCATTACCCAGGCAATTAAGGGAGTAATTGGGTTAACTGCCCATAATTGGGATAACTGCCCAAAGGACTGGGGATAGTCAGCCTGTGTTTGCAGTGCTGCTGGAGGACTCCAGTCTCCCCAGGAGTTCCTCCACAGAGGGAAGGTAATGACCTTCAGCTGAGAAAGACCCTTGCTCTGTATTGTCCAGAAAATCTTTTAGTGGTGTGGTAAATGTGTCTGAATCCTGGAAGTTCTCAAACAGCTTTTTGTGTTTTACAGGAACCACGACATTGAATTCACGTGCCAGGTAAGGCCCAGGCTGTCCCCTGCCACCACTGGGGGAGGGCTCAAGCAAATAAAGTCAAAGCAGTTGAAGTGAAGGAGGCTGGTCTTGGTTAGTTAATGCTTCCTGCTTGATAAAAACATTCAGTCCCCGAAAACCACTGCCAGGCAGGTATTTGCAAATGTGGTAACACTGAAAGGAAACTTCAAGAATTTGCATTATTCCAGTATGAGAGTCAAATTTTGGAAGTCTCTCCTGCTGTTCCAGTAATGGTTTCACTGGAAAATGACTTGCATAGGTACCTCTATTTTTACAGTGTGTTTTTTGTAAAGGGTCTTTCACTCCCTGGCCAGTGAAGCTGCTGCTGAGCAGCAGGTGCTGCACCTTTGAAGGCATTCAGTGTGAATGGGGCAGAAATACCTGTCCAGGGTTCACCTGCAGGAAGCAAATGCCACTGAATCCTGGCAGCATCTCCTGCTGGTCATCTGGGGTTTACTGGCAGCCCATTCAGAAACATGAGGTTTTGCTCCCCATAAACTGCTGGGAGTTGTTGTAGCATCAGCTGTTGCTTCCTGAGAGAGGATTGGTTTGAATACTGCTTTTAAATGTTGAATTTAAGCATTTGAATATATGCTTCATGTATCATTTTATCTCACTTTGTACATGCCCCACATATAAAAGACTTTGGAAGTTTTCTGGATAGACTTTGATCTATTTTTGTTCTTATTTGCCTTGAACTAAGGATGTTTTTCATAGCAGAGCTGTGTAATTAATGAAGAAACCACATTACTAATCTACCAGGCAAAATTCTTAATCAAGATGTCTCCTCTTTCTTCCCTTCTTTGCTTAGACTGAAGATATTGAAGAATTAATTCCCAAAGGACTGTCTGAGGCAACAAAGCAGCAGATTCGTTATCTCCTCCAGGTATGGAGCTTGGCAGCCTGTAGGAGCTGGGAGCAGTAGGAGCTGGCTCACACACAGGAGGGACTTGGTACATAACACCCTTCACTCTGTGTTCCCTCATCCCGTTGCTTCTAGAGTGAGGGGGTGGAATGGTGGCTTTAAAGGAAGTGTCACACGGACCCACAGTCCACTTGTGTGTTTTAAACTGAGCTCTGCTGGGGCTTTCCTGCAGTTTCACTGGAAACTGTCCTGGCTTTTGACCACTGACAGGAGAACAGAGACCTTTCATCTTTCTGTGTTGTGTTTAAGGCTTTAAAAGCCAAACACAAACAGGAGGTGCTAAAAACTCAGAAGCAGAGCCTGAATCCCACCTGCTCCCAGCCCAGCCCCATGGCTGGGCATGGAGCAGGGAGGGAGCTGAAGAACCAGCCCAGGACAAAACTCTTTACACCTGAACCACAACAGGAATGGTTCTGTTTGCTGTTGGATGCCAAAAGCACAGCTTAGCACCCAGAGCTGCCTTTGCCAGGCAGGTGTGTCAGAGCAGGATCCAGGGCAGCCTCAGCAGGAGAGTCCTGATCTGGGCTCCTTCCCTCAGGTAGGGGGAGGGAGATCCTGCCTGGGAGCTGCACCTTGGAATCACTTCCTGGTAAAAAAAACATCCATTGAAATGAGGTTGAGAAGGAGCAGCCTGGTCTGAGTTCACAGCTGCCCTGCTCTGACATCCCCATCACTTCCAACTGGAATTATTCTGTGCTTCTCTTACAAGGAAGACGGACCCAGATATTCCATGGCCTCACAGTGGCACACTGTCCTGGGAGGCTGGTTCAGCTCCAGGTGAAGAGTTGGAACAGGCATTTCCTGTTGTCTCTGTGTCCAGCTGGTTTTACATCCTCACAGCTGTGATTATAAAATGCAGCCAAAATGGCTTTTGGTGACCCAGGTGTTGTCAGGATCCACCCGGGACAGAGCTGGGAGGGAAGGGTTTGCACAGCCCAGGATCCCGAGCTGGGAATGCCAGAGGCTTCTTCCTTGTCTAAGGACACAGAGAATTCCACTGGAGAAGCACAAGGCACCTCTGGGATTGAGCAACCTCTAGCACTAAGCAATTGCTGAGTGGGGTTTTACTTATATTTTTATAGTCTAAATTTCACCCTTTGACTCAATTCCTTCTTTCAAACTACTCTGTAGTGTATTACACAATAAAACCAATAATACCATAAGACAAAAGTAAAATTCCACTTTAATCACAAAACAAACAAAAAGGTGAGTTGTGCTAGGAGTGAAGTCTCAGTCACACCACGGCACCAGTGGGGATAAAAAACTGGGCAAGGGCCAATTTTCTTACGGATAGAGAGCATGAGAGCTCAAAGTTTCACTTTGGTCTGGACAGAAAAGGACCCACAGCTTTTGTACAGAATATTCAGCCCTTTCAAGGAGTGTTACAACTTGAGGAGTTATTTGTGTGTCCTTTCAAAGTCTGTTATTTTTCTTGTAAATACTATAAGTGTATCATGAAATGCAACAATTAATATTTTCACCTGAATCAATACACAGCTATTAAAGGCATTAAGATTAGCATTCCAAAGGAGAACAGTGGGCTGTGGTCACTTATGGTTTTCTCTTTCATCCAGATGACTCCTTTCATCTTTGGGATCTTTTTCCTTTTAAAGGGAGGAGTTGGCTGTATGAGCTTTTTTAATTTAAATTTTTAAAAATGTTAATTAAAGTCCCTCATCCTTGAGCCCAGAGCTTTGCCAGATCTCAAACATGACTCATTCCTCTGTGCCTTTTAAGGCAGGGCAGTAATTTTTAAAAATCAGTGTAAGCACAAAGCTTTTAAAGCTCTGATAATAATTGTACAATATTAACACATTTGTTTTTCCCTTTATTGGTGTACAAAGGCAGTTCCTTACCCTGTTGCTCCTTCATTTTAACAACGTTGTCCTGTGTTACAAGGCAGAAACTGAACATTGGCATTTGCAGAACAAAGTGGAAGGAAAATATTTCCTGTAGAAACTGTGGGCACTTCAAAGGACGTGCAATGGTTTTAGAAGTTACTGTCAGCTGTAAAGCAGTTTCTGTTCTACCTCTTGTCAGGCACATTGTAAACAAAGCTGCCTAATTAAACCCAATTATCCTTTTCATTTCTCCCCTCCCAGATGAGAGTGACGTCGGACAAATCCCTGAGACTTGTGCTTTCCACGTTCAAGAACCTGCGGGAGGAGCTCTGCCATTTGCAGGATGACCTGGGGGTGAGTCCTGCTCCTCCTCCAGCTGCTCCCAGCTGGAGCAGGAGCCCAGGGCTGGCATTCCAGGCTGTGGCTGTGCTGGTGGCAGTGGCTGCTCTGTCAGTGCCTCAGGGGCTGGATGGACAGGGGTGCCTTTGGCAGCTCCACAGGTTCTCAGGGCTGGATGGACAGGGGTGCCTTTGGCAGCTCCACAGGTTCTCTGGGCTGGATGGACAGGGGTGCCTTTGGCAGCTCCACAGGTTCTCTGGGCTGGATGGACAGGGGTGCCTTTGGCAGCTCCACAGGTTCTCTGGGCTGGATGGACAGGGGTGCCTTTGGCAGCTCCACAGGTTCTCTGGCCTTCAGCCATCCCAGCCCTGTGGATGCAGGCAGCAGACAATTGCTGTTGTTTCCATCCCAGCCCAAGTGCTCAGCACCGCTGAGAATGTCACAGCATTGTCCTGGAAAATGCGAAGTTGAGGGAGAAGAATTTGAACTTAAACACAGACCAAGGAGTCAGTGCAGTGGACTTAGTTTTGGGGTGATTTTTGGTTGTTTGGGGCTTTTTGTTGGCTTCTATTTAAATTGTTTCTGGGGCAGACTGGAAGGGCAGTGTCCAGGATCCCAGTGCTCACCACCCAGCACAAAGCCATGGGCACTACAGTGTGTGCTATGTACCTAAACCCCAGACTTTCAAGAAAGTTGAGCATTCTCTCAGTTCTAAAACATCCCTTTATTAATGACTGTGTTGCACTTTATGGGAAGAAATTTTACTGAAAAATTTTACTGAAAAATTGCAGCTTTTGACTGTAAACTTTTGACTTATGTCCTGCAGAAGCTGGAAACTGACAATGTCTTGCTGAAGAAGGATTTGGCTTTTAAGGATTCCCAAGTGAAAGAATATGAAACAATGCTGGCTTCTCTGAGGGAGAACAATCGTCAGCAGCAGGTAAATCAAGAAACATTTCCAGTGTCATTCCAGGCAGCCAACATGGGGGCAATTTGCTGACTTCTGGGTACTCTGAGTAACTGCTGCCTGCTGTGTGTGTGATGCTGTTCCTCCCCTGAGGAATTCCAGGTGCTCATTCCCCCTGTGCTTTCCAGCAAGGGCTCAGGGACAGCACTGCCAAATGCCGCTCCCTGGAGGAACAGCTCCTGTCCCTGCGGCTCAGCGAGGGTGACAAGGACTGCCAGCTGAAGGAGCTGGAGTACAGCAAGAGGGCCCTGGAGCAGGAGATCCAGAGCCTCAAGCTGCAGGTGAGGGCTCACCTGGCTGGGTGCAGTGGCTGAGTCCCAGACTCAGAGGGATCAGTGCAGGAAAACTAACGATGAAAACTCTCTTTGTAAAATAAAATTGGGTTCTTTGCTGCAGAGCTGCTCCAGCCCCACCCTGCAGACCACGACAGACGAGCTCTCCAGCCGCTACGTGGAGATGATCAACAACCTGAGGGAGGACAAGGACAGGGAGATCCGCAGCCTCAGGGTAAGGGGCTCTGCTGCCTGTGTGCACTACAGCAGCAGAGATCTTCCACAGGCACCTTTTGGGTGTCTTCTGGCTGTGCAGTTACTTTACTCATAGACACTGGTGATGGTAAAACCTTTATAGTAGAACATAAAACCGTGATTTAAAAAAAACCCTAACTGTTCTTTACATGAAGAAATCAGGATCAACCTGATTAGTGGGCTGTCCCAAAGGGATATTTTGTGTGTCCTGATAACCTAAGAAATTAGTCAAAATATCCTTGATAGGAAACAAAAATAAATCCCAGTCACAGCTGTAATTATGTCTCTCATGTCTCTCATGGAAATTGGTGGTAAAAGTTTCCAACTCTGGAAGCCAATTCAACTGGTTCAGTGTTGGTTTAGCTTGAGAATTCTAATATAATTAAATTACTACTGAGTAGAATTCAGTCCAATTAGCACTTCCTGAATTTACTGTGTGGCTCAACTCCCTCACCTGAAAATCCCTGGGCCTCACTGTTGATGGTGTTAATGAAATGCCACTCCTGGAGCCCTGGGTGGGTGCTGAGGGGCCCTGCCCAGAGCCCCCCACACCTGAGAGCTCCTGCCTTGTTCTGCAGTCCCAGCTGTGCCAGTTCCAGCAGGACATAACCAGGAGAGAGGGGAGCAACAGCGACTTGCAAATGAGGCTGCACGAACTGACATCGCTGCTGGAGGACAAAGAGGCTTTTATTAAACAACAGCAGGAGGTAAAATAACACAAGTTATTTCTCTTCTAAGGGTTTTTGTGTTTAAGCCTCAATGTACTGTGTAGGTGGCACCTTACCAGGAAGTCCTTTGTCCTCTCCTGGCTCAGGAAAGGGGGTTAGGATTTGTTCTAACTGAATGCTGTTTCTCTGACAGCTTTCTGGAAGGGCAGATTTTCAGACTGTTGAGACAAATTTCTGCAAATATTTTGTTGTGGCTTTAGTGAACTAATACTTCAAAAAACATTACTTCACATCACTGTTTGCTTTTTGGTTTTGTCAGGAGCTCTTCAGACTGAAGCATGAGAAGTTATCAGGCAGTCAGTCCCCTGGGGTGACAGCCATCATCACTAAAAAGTAACGTGTTATTCACCTTTTTTAAAAACACATAATTTGGGCTTTCCTTTGTTTAGGCTCTGTTAAGCAACCTGTTCAATTCTCCACAGGTACAGGAATCAGTATCCTATTCTGGGTCTCCTGTCTGATGACTACAAGGTCACATCACCTGTCAATAAATCACAAACGATTGTAATTGAGAGGACTGGAGAGATCTGGAAACATGTAAGTTTACCCGGATATGGACTGTTCCCTCTGTAATCCCTAAGTGTTCAGTTTAACTTCAAAGCAAGTATCACCCGAACTGAGAGCTCAGCGATGCCCTCGTGGTAATTTAACTGCAAAAAGCAAAGTGACTGACTGCAGCCAGGGAACTGTCCTGGCTTTTGGGACAGGCAGTAATTGGTGGGTGTGGTACAAATAAAACCTTTTGTTGTTTTCTCTGGCACGTAATTACTCTGAACAAAAGCATCAGCTTGCTCTAACACCGGCCCCGGGGTGTTGGTGTACTGGGCAGGTCGGCAGGGACTGTGTCCTGCTGTGCTCTCAGGTGAGCAGGGATTTGGGAGGGCTGTGCTCCTCTGCACGAGGAGCATTAATGACTCCAAGCCATTAGTAAAACATAAAAAGCACCACATCCCTGAAACTCACCGTGAGCCAGGGCAGTGACGAACCCAGGAATGCAGAAGAGTGGTGACGTTTTAAGGAGTGATTCAGAGTAAAAATAGAAAACAGGGCTGCAGAAGCTATTTCTGTTACAGGCAGGGCCCGTGGTGCCAAGTCTGGCTACAAGGTAAAGGCTGCAGAAATGGCAGGGTGGCCAAGCAGGGGTGGTGGCTGCAAGCACAAGGTCACAGCAGCACCTGGACACTGCCAGGGGACAGTTCTGTGACAGGTAACACACCTGGCACGTCCCTCAAGGGGACCTTGCCTGCAGCAGGATTAAAAAAGCAGAAGGCTCAGGGCACTGGCAAAGAGCAGAGTTTTATTACTGATCCCTAAACCTCACCCAGGTGCATTGCAACCTAGTGAAATGTCAAGCAATGAAACAGCAATAAAGAAAAGAAAACAAGTAGGTAATTAAATGAGATGCTTTATGGGAGATAGTTCTGTTTCATAACAAAAACAGGTTTGTGTATTCCTTCTAAAAAGCTGCTTGTTTCTTTTAGGAATGAGAGAAACCTCTGAGCCCTCAGAGCTGCTCCAAGGAGTTCACAAACCACTACAACTGCTTTACTTTCTGCTCTTCTGCATCCAAGAAAAGGTTCAGTCTTATAGTGAGCTCAGCTGGGAAAACATTAAGGACTCACTTTTCCCTCGGAAGAGTGGGATGCTATCCCTGTGGACTTCAGCTGGTCTTGACTAGCTCCTGTTCTCCAGCCAGTCCTGAGGCAATCTAGGAGACAAAAGGAAGACACCTGAGACCTTTTCCTCTTCGTCCTTCAGCCATGTTCTGTCTCTTCATGCTGAGAGTGGGAATGACCCCGAAGTCAGCCCCACCCCTCCCACAGCTGCTTTCAGTGCAGAGTCACGGGCTGCATGGGAACTTCAAAAATACCTCACTGGGAACTGCTCCTTACCTTACACCTGCCTCTGTCTGGGAAGCTCGGACACCAAGGACAAAACTTACACCAAACCCAGCTTCTGACCTGGCAAATGCCAGCAGGACCCAGTTCAGTGAAGGGCTGGGCCAAGGCTCATTCTAGAGAATGCTTCTGACCTCAGAGGTGATGTATTTTCAGCCCCAAACCAGCTGTATTTATTTGCTGTGCTTCAAATTTTCAAGAACTTGGTATATTTTTATATAGAAGAACTTTGTGTGAAAATAACTCATGGACTAAATTTCCTTATCAGACCAACCTGCCATTTACAATTTCCACTCTTTGAAGGACCACAGAAATTTTTTCAAACTGATTTGGTGTTCATGATTCAGTAGTTGTCTGAGCAGTACAGCACAGAGACTCACAGGGAAAGTTTGCAATGCTGCAATCCAAAGGTGCTCTTTTATTGTGGGGTTCTTGCTTTGCTTTCCTTCTGCAGCCATGTATTTCTGTTCCCAGATACTATAGACCCTAGGCAATGTTTAATGGGGAAAGAATGCTGGAGGCTACCTGTAACATGAAATAAACCCAAGTCTAACTCTCTGGATCATTGTCTGTCTGTCCTGGAACAGCTGTCTTGTATACAGCTGGAGGAGTTTAGGTGGTGTCTTGTTCTTCTCCATGAATCTTCACAAGTGAAGGATTGGGGCTGGCTCCCTTTTCTGGCTGCTGCTGCCAGAACTCCCTCAGGTGATGCTGGATGTCCAGCTGGCCTTGTGTTCTTCAGGACTGGGCAAAGAGCCATGAGTAAAACCTGTTCCTGCTGCTGCTCTTTGAGTGTGTCCAGGCTGAGATGGGCCTGCAGTTTCACCAGCCTGGTCCCCCCTTCAGCCTGGCTTTAATAGTGAAATACCCTCATTTGAACGAGGAGTGCCTTGCCCCTCTGCAGTCAGTAATTATTCTAAAACAGATGCTAAAGCAGCCCCATTTTCTGCAGAGCAGTGAATAAAAGGTACATCTACACTCAGAGCTAAGGTGCTCCTGCCATGGGACAGTGTCAGTGCAATAAATAATCTAAGTTACACTGTCAGCAAAAGACTTTTTACCTCTGGTGATCTTGAACACAAAAAGGACTAACAGTTTGTTCCATGCCATCAGTTACCTGTGCAGGGGTCTGGGTGCAGGTGCTCCTTGTGCTCCACCAGGGCCAGGGCGTTCCCACAGCTCAGACCAAGCTACAGAGAGCAGAAATGGGAGTTAGTAATGGCCACAGTTCCTGATGGCTCATCCCAGCCATGGATTTCCTGAGACCTGTGTTTCCTCCACTCCATGGCACAGCATAGGGAACTCCTTGAGGTGGGACAGGGCTCAGAGCAGGAGCTGCTGGGTGTGGTGAGACAATTGCATGGCAAAGGCCACCGTCAGGCAAATGCTCTTTTCAAATCCAGCTGCTCCCTCCCAGTGGAAACACCATCCTGGGACTGCAGGAAAACTGCAGCCTGCTCACAAAAAGCTCAGGTTGCTGCTCAGGCCAGCCAGCTTTCCCTCCTGGGGACAAGGACAGCTCCTCAAAGAATCTGAAGGTCACCAGACCCTGTAAATGCTGCAGAGCAGAGGCTTTGTAATTACACTTTGTACTGACAGAAAACACAAAGCAATGAATGGCTGTCAAAAAGCTGAATTAGACTAGTAGATAAAGCATATGGCCATTTATTTATAGGCTGTTTTTGTTTTCAAACCATATGCATTTAAAAATCAAATGTAGTATTTTTTACTATGAAGTACCTGTTACTGTGGGCTCAGCTGTCCCTTCTTTGCTGTGGAACTGGAACTGATTTACCTAATGTGGTTTCTGCTGAAGTTTACAGAAAAACATTTTCTCATTTACTTAGCTCTGTAAATCCTGGTTAGAAACATATTACTTTAGCTCATTTCCCACCTCAATTTCAACTAGGTTCACCAAGACTTCTACATTTTTTCTAGGAACAAATTAGAAGTCAGACACTATTTACTTTATATAATTACAACAATATACATTCTGCCTTGTCTTTACCTGCCAGAATGCAGAATCTTGTTTTGCACTGAAAAGGAAAAAACTGTCTTTGTTTTGACTGACCTTTCTGCAGAATTGAAGTTTCTCTGCCTCAGCTGTAAAATAAAAGCCAGAGCCCTGGCTGGGAAGTCCCTGACAGCTCCAGCAGCCACCAGCCCACACCCAGTACCTCACCTTTACCTCCAGCGTTCTGCTGCAGCTCTTCCTCATTTTCTCTCTAATTTATTGCCTTTAATTGTGGGCAGTTGAAACCTGAGGAAAGAAAAACATAGCTGATGATCAGGATGTGAATCACTTTTAACTGCACCTGTCAGCACAATAAAAAGCTGCACCAAACAGATCTGACATTTCAGAGCATGCCCTGCACACCTTTGGGAGGCTCTGCTTGCTCAAGCACCCCTGACCTGTCACAGCTCTCAAATATTTACTGGGAGAGGGCACTGAGAAGGATTTGGGAACTGTCCCTCAAACTGCTGAGAGGACTCAGGTGCCATTTTATCCTTCCATTTCAGAAGATTTAAAACACTACTTCCTAGTAAAATCTTATTTCAAGAACAGCAACCAACCTCCTGCTTTGATACAGAACAATCAATTACCTGATTATTTGGTCTGTCTGTAGAGTGGAAAAATGAGCCAGCACAGCCATGGGCAGAGTCAGGGATCATCTTCAGGTGAAGAAACTCCTTCAGTCCATGCATCCAACATAACATTCAGGAACAAAGCACTGACATTGTCAGAAATCCACAGCCTTAAATCACTAAGATTTTTTCCCTTCTGACTGCTGGGCATGCAAGGAAAAGCAGCAACAAAACCCAGATGAATTAATTCCTGTCTGCTTAATTTCTGCTCTTTGTGCAAAACCTACGAGTTCAGTGGCTCAAAGCCCATTGGAAATCCTCGATGAAGGGTTAATTTAATTGCACATGCTCTTCTTCAGCTTTTTAATCTGTTACTGATGTTGCAATTCAAGTATTCTAAAAAGAGAGGGAATTTAGGATAGCAGCATTTTTAACATTTAATTGTGCAAGCTGTTATTACACAGGTAAAAAGACAAAAAACCTACCTTTATGTGAGAAGTTTTTTTGCTCTCTTAAAGGAAAAAAAAAAATTCAAAGGAACGTCAGTATCAGATTTGATAATTATTTTAGAAATAAGCAAAACAAACACAAATACATTACCTGTAAGTCTAAAGGGTTAAATCAAACCCAATGTTCTCTCCTCAACAGTCTGATAAAGAGACCTGCAGTAGCCTGTTTACTAGAAATGTGATTACATATTAATTAGTGAATAATGCAATTAAAAATATCAGGTGAATTATAGAGAAGGGGACTTTCCTAAACACCATAAATGAAAAGGAAACTCCAAAAAAATCTGGAGTGCAAGAGATGCGTTTTATTGTATGCCCGTTACGATGAGTAACACATTTAGAAATAATAATCCCACAGAACAGTGACAATCTTATTTTACAGCGTGTACATCATTTTTTACAGCCACATAAAACACTTATTTGTCTAAGAGATTTCCCAAATTTTAACTTTCTGAAGTTTAGAAATATAAAAAAAATTTATTCTCAAGGAACTGATTCTCATCTGGTGCAAAAACAAAATATGAACATTATCTGGAACACAAAGCCACAATATAGCATGAAGTTACAATTTCTCATGTGAACAGCTGTGTGCAAACATGAAGCAACTAAAAAAAGTAAAAAATACACATTATATGCGTAACATTTATGACCAGGTTTTTCATTAAATAGCCCTAGACCAGCTCGTTATATAAGCGCCATTGGATTTGCAGCATGCTAACACAAAGCATTTTTAAAGGGATGCATATTTTAAATGTATACACTGTAAACTCAAGATCCACCTCCAAACTCTAGTGGCAGCAGGTTTTTCTGGTTAAATACTGCATATATACTTTCTTACAGATTGAAAATGCATGTTTATAGCATGGTATAGATCTTTTTTTAAAAGAATCGATTAAAAGGTGCAATTTTACCTCTATATGGAAAATTTCATATTAGGAGGTAGGACAGTAACTGTCATACCTGTTAAGAACACTGCCCTAAAGAACCTCTAAGTACTCTGAATTTTAATTAAAAAACCCCTACAGTTTTCAACTGTTTTTAATATTCTTTTTAGAGAAGACTTTAAAGTAGCGAGGAAAAAAAATTAGTGTTGAGTCACAACACTATGAGCTGCATCCATTTTTATCCTTTAAAAAAAAAAGTCAAATTCAAAGTTAATTTTGTTATATGTGCCATACTGAACAACATTCAACTGTAGTTTCAGATAAAAAAAGGGAAATTATATACATATACATCTTTAACCCTAGCACCAGAACACCACCTCTGAGACCATAACATAATGCTCTATTTTAAACATCATATCCTGCAATAAAATAGGTTAGCAGCTTTGAAAACCAGTAAAAAAAATGCTTCTTGGACCTAAACTAATAAAGGAAACCAAAAAGTTTCCCATGAAATGTTTAAAAAAAACCCAAACCAAACTGAACAGGGGACACCCCCCCACCCCCAAATTTCACCAGTTCTGGAATTCAATTTCTAGGCACAATTGAAAACGTTGTGATGAAGCGTCTGACTAAAACTCCCTGTCCCAAACTGCACAAGAAGTGAAAAGGGGGCTCCTTTGCAAACCCTCTGTAGCTCACCCACCAGGGATCTGTTTCCATACTGGAGACACACGTTGGGACTGACAGAATGGCTCACACAATCAGCTCTGCCCTGTCCTCTAGACCCAGCAATGGCAAATACTGTTCACTTGGAGACATTCATCCATCTTTCTGCAAATTTAAGACATTCATCCATCCTCTGCATTCTCTAGTGCTCTTTAGGTTCTGATCAGCAACAATCATAGGGCTATGAGATCCCCTGCCAACCCTAATACTTTTTAAGACTTTTAATACAAAGAATGTAAAGTTATGGTTTAATATCAAGCTTTGAAACCAGGAGAAACAGTTCGTGAGATTTATTTTTTTCCCCAATTAGCATATCACAGTTTCTACACCGCTTCCTGCTGGAGCTCACCTATCACATTATGGCCTCTTTGTGGTGCCTCATTATGTGCTGATTTTTCTCGGAGGGCCTGCGGAAGCCCTTTTTGCAGAACTCACACCTGTGGGGGTAGTCTTTGGTGTGGATGGAGATGACGTGGCGCTTAAAGCCCGACGCGTCCGTGGTGCTGTACTCACAGTACTGGCACTGGTACACCTTCCTGCCACTGTGGGTCTTCATGTGCTTCTTCAGTTCGTTCTGCTGCCTGAAGCCCCTTTTACACCTTTTGCATTTAAAAGGCAGGTCCTTGGTGTGAACGGAGAGGATGTGCCCACTGAGCACAAAAGGGTCGGAGGTTTTGAAGTCACAGTGCCTACACTGGTGGATCTTTTTCCCTTTATGGGTCTCGCTATGCTTTTTGAGCTCCGAGGGCCGGTGGAAGCCTTTCTCACACACCTCACACTTGTGGGGAAAATCCTTGGTGTGCACTGAAATGATGTGTCGCTTCAGGTCACTGGAGTTGGTGCTCTTGTGGTCACAGTGGGGACACTGGTGAGTCTTATGCCCTTGGAAGAGCTCGGTGTGCTGCTGCAGCTCCTTCTCGTCGGCGAAGGCCTGGGGACAGTGCTCACATTTAAAGGGCAGGTCGGTGCCGTGTTTGGTTTTGATGTGAGTTTTCAGGTTGGACTGGTCAGCACACCTGAACACGCAGTGCTGACACTGGTATGGCTTTTCCCCCGTGTGGGTCCTCATGTGCTTTTTCAGCTCCGAGGGGTGGCGGAAGCCCTTCCCGCACTCCACGCACACATGAGGGAAGTTCTTGCTATGGACTGCCAGCAGGTGCCTGTTGAGCAGCCCCTGCTCTGCAGTCTCATAGTCACAATATTTGCACTTGTGGAGCTTGGGCTCCTTGTCCCTCAGGATGAGTTTATTGGAACTCAACGGGCTCGCCTCTCTGTATCTTCTCGTGTACTCTGTAAACTCGTGCGTTTTATCAACTTTATTTATAAGTTTATGGCTTTCCAGATGATTGTGGAAACTTACTTTTTTGTTAGTTGTAAAGTCACAGTCCGTACACTGGTACTTCTTCTTGATCATATGATCGGGATGGTTCTTCATATGCCTTTTCAAGAATCCTCTGGATTTAAATTTTTTCCCACAAATATGACAAGGGTAAACTGTTAAGGGCTGTCCATCAGGACCTATTATAACAGCTGTTTTTGAACAAACAAAAACAAGTTATGAAGGAAACACATTTACTGATTAAGAAGTTTTAAATCAGCCAAGTGCTGTTCAGATTCATGCACTTACACTTGCAGCAGAGAGAGAGTGGCTCAGTAGTTTAAAAACAACCAATCCACAGCACCTATAGTTTATATAGTTCTGTTTTAGAAACTGCTCAAACAGATCAGGAATATCACATGTGCACTGAATATAGCCATGGGTACTTTTTAATAGCTTGCAACATTCAAATGAATTGCATCAGCCCTGGGTGTACTGACTCTGAATAGCAAAATATGACATTTTCTAGGCACAGAACTGGAGGGGGGAAGGACACAGGAAATACGCAAATCATCATTTATAGCTTTTAATTCTGCATCAGCTTAAAAAAGAGAAAAGGAATAGGACAGGAGTAAGTGGCACTCCGTGACAATACCGTAACCATCCAGTGTTTACCTGTTTGCCATTGCCTGGCCTCTCCTCTCCTCCTTTTCTTGGTTTTTTGTTTGAGCACTCTATTAGTGCTAATGCTATCACAAATCTGCAGGTACTGTGTTGCATTACCGTTTTTGTTTTCTAATCGTGTATCCAAGTTATTTCCTAGAAACAAAAATTAGACACCATAAAAAACCTTAAACAACTTGTTTCTTTGGGACTGACGACTGGAATTGCACAGCAGCATTATCTACTTTTTAAAAACAAGCATTGCCCATTCCTCTACAGCAATATAGATTAAAAAGAAATGTGCTAATGGGAACCCCTGTCTATCTTTCCTGGCAAAAGTCAAGGGTATGATTGTTTAAACACTAATTCATTTCTAATTATATTCCATGATTTTTATTTAACTTGTTTTCACTTCTTAACAAGTGCATTATCTATTTTCTGTCTGCAAAACTACATTAAAAACTTGGCAGTGCCTCCCAACTTCCCCACCCCCTCTGAAGGCCTACAGACATCTAGAATTGTTTTCATTCAAAACAACAGAGAAAGACTGAGGAGTCCTTCAATATCTAATTTATGGCTCATTCTTTGCATCTCTGATTAGGAGCACTGACACAGAAATATCTGCTTTTTCAAAGACAGTTTTATTTTTAATGCTGTTAAAAGTTCTCACCTGCCGCTTGACCATCTTCGTATCTTCGGGGAAGCCTTCTTTCATCTCCTGCAGAAAATGGTATTTTAGTCATTATAAAATAATATTCTTTTTAAAGATGCTGCTTTTGAAAGCCTGATAATGAGAGAAAACTAACTTAGCTAATAAGTAACAGGTTAACACCATCCAAGTGGAGATGTGCAGCTCGGTGTTGTGTAATCATGAGCCTCAGGAACCAAAATCCCATCTCT